AGGGGTAACTACCCACCTGGAACTGTCCTTGATGCTTTGAGGTAAAAAGACCCTACCTGTAACAAATGGCAAACCTCTGCGCGGTGCTGTCAGCAAGTCGCAGCTGGACATCTCAATAGAAAACCCTAAACCCCTAAACCCTAAACCCCTAAACCCTAAACCCCTAAACCCTAAACCCCTAAACCCCTAAACTCTAAACCCTAAACACCTAAACCCTAAACCTCTTCTACAGTCCCTGGAGGGCAGTAGCTTCCCCACCAGGACCCATAAATATTTTTCTAAGGCTCCGAATATTTGAACAAACTTGAACACAACCTGGGTTCAACCCTAAACCCCTAAACCCTAAACCCATAAATACCATGGACCCAAATCACACGCAATTTTGGGTACTTGGGCCCTTAGAATCCGGCCTCGAGCTCAAGGATTGCTGTCTAGCCCTCCAGATGAACCCAGACTGCGGCAAGGTGGCTTGCCTGCTTTGCTGCGATTTCGGGTTTAGGTTTCAGGGTTTAGGTTTGAGGGTTTAGGTTTCAGGGTTTAGGGTTTAGGTTTCAGGGTTTAGGGTTTAGGTTTCAGGTTTAGGGTTCAGGTTTCAGGATTTAAGGTTTAGGGTTTAGGCCGGTATTCATCGAGAAGATCCCCGAGAGGCCTCCTGATAGGAGACAGACCCTCTAAGAGACGCCTGGGTTCTGCTTATACTTCTGTTCTGAGGGTCCATCCTAGGGGGGGCTGAGGAAATTTCAGGTTTTTCTGTATACTTGAACTGAACCCCATACTAAACAAAAAGATCATGTTTCCTTGTACCATAGCAAAATTCAAGAAAAGATGTGCTCTCAACCCGTTTTCTAAGAATTCGAGGTACATTTGGGGGTTTGAGAAGAGGTACTAACAAAGCACAAGGGGAGACCCTAAACCCTAAACCCACGACAAAAAGAACTGTCTGCTGTTGCATGGGCCGCTTTAATTAATGCAGCCGCGTTAAATGAAAGCCACATTGAAGTTTGGGTCCCCCAAATATCACATATTGGGGTTATGTAGGTAATATAGGGATAATGGAAAAGAAAATGGAAACTACTGTTCAGGGTTTAGGGTTTAGCGTCAAGGGTTTACGGTTTGGTTCAGGATGACAGTCGAATATCCTGCAAGTCGAAGAAGAGCTAGGGGCTCTTTGGTGATGCATGCTCCTTCTGATTACTTAGTAGCCCTGCGCGGATGGATTCTGAGCCACCAAGGAATTTATAAATCCCCTACCCTACTCCTTTTCCTGCCCCCTCTCCCCACCCCCCTCAAAACACAAAACAATCTAGTGCAAGTGTATATCAGGGGCAATATTCACTGGTATTTCGTCCCTAAACCCTGAACCCTAAACCGGGGGTGGGATGTTTATTGCCAGTCGGTGGGGGCTGGGGGGGATACTAATTGCGGGAGCTGATTCATGCCAGTCCTGCTTGGGGGACGTGAGTTGTTCAAGAAGATAAGAATACGAGCCATCATCTAAACCCCTTAAAGGGGGCTTATATACTGGTTATGCAGGGAAGTGATATAAGGGTTATCAAGGGGGATACTTGGAGTTTGCACTGTAGCTAATATGAGGATTAAGCAGTCGGGTTTGTACTCAGAAGACCTCAGGAAGGGCTCACGTCTTGTCAGGTAGATTAGATCTCCCTCAGCCCTATAGATCTGCCTATACACCATACTCCGCAAATAGTGCTTTAGGAATCAATCCCTGTCTCACCTATACCCTAAACCCTAAACCCTAGCCCCAAAAGCCTAAACTGGGTCAACTCCAAGCCACAGACCCTAAGCTCCGAAACCCTGCACCTTGAACAGGGTTTCTGTTCAGGAGCTTCAATTACCCGAAGCATCAAAATCACCGAAAAAACCTCATATAGTATGGTCTTTGGGCCCAAATTCCTTCAAATATGAATCCTTAGATGCTTAGGGTTACGTGACCACTGTATGGACAGTACGCAAATGACAGTTTTCCCATGAGGCTAACTTTGCTTAAGTTCCAGGAGTTGGGGTTTATTGGGGGTAATGTTAGGCTCATATTGGGGTTCTATGGGAAGAATGGAAAAGAAAATGGAAGCTACTATAATGGGTTTATATAAGGCTTAGGGTTAGTTCCTGAACAGCAAGCCCTAAACCCTAAACCCTAAACCCTACAACGAGCCTAGCAGGCCTATCTTGTCCGTGGCGCGGCGCATCAGAAGCTAGGGCACGCTGCCCGGAGTAAGCTTTGAATGTAGGGTTTAGTGAGTTCCAAGTTGGTTCAGTTTTCAGGGTGGGTTCTGTTGTTTTCTGTTGGATGTTGTGCTTTCCTAGGCTTGAAAAAGCTCTATGGGACCAACCCTGGCTACCCACGGCTTCTATGAGATTGACACGCTCCTCACATTCAGGAGGAAAGTCTAAAAGTTGAAAGCCATGAACGTCGGGCACGGCGACAAGAAGAAGCTGCTGAAAGTCGTGAAGGCTACCAAAAAGATGATCTGACCATGCACAACGCGTGCGGCAACGAAAGGCAGTTCCCAATATGGAGAAGAGATCATGTCTTCTAACTTGTGCTTTGCTCCCTTTCCAGGGCATGAACCAGACCCACCCCTATACAGCGTGTCCCTAAACTCTGAATCCAAAGCCCACCCTAAACCCTCAACCTTACACGTTGAACACCCTCCTAAGTTCAACATGTTTGCAGCTCAGGGTTGGGGCAGCGCTTGCAGACTTCCAATTTGAGTTGAAGGGTTTAGAACATTTTTGCGGTTAGGCGTCCTGAGAGTGCTTCAAGTTTGTGGTTGAGACGTTAGGTGGACCGCCCACCATGTAATAGTGGTATAACAGGAATACACGGGGACCCTAATACAATCACCATGATCCCGCCTAGTCACTATTACAGGGGTGAAGCTGTTTAGGGTTTAA